CCTGCCTCTGCCTCCTGAGTGCTGGGATTAAAGGCGTGTGCCACCACCGCCCGACTAAAGAAAAGTTTTAAACAGAAAAGATAAAAGGTTAGGAGAAGGCTCAGCAGGTGGAAGTATGAGCCACAGAAGCCTGACAACCAGAGCTCTGTCCCTTGAAGCCAGGAAAACAGTTGGATGGAGCGGCATGCAAACTGGAGTCCCAGCACTCCTGTGGGGGGATGGAAGGTGGAGGCAGGAGGATCACCTGTGTGACATGAGACCCTGCCACAAAGAAAACAAAAAGCAAATAGATTTTAAAAAATGTTAAGTCCTTGGAGAATCCCTAGCACCTGCTTATTGTCATTCTAGTCCTGGGACACTGGGGCTCATTGGTCAGTTGGCCTTGCCTAATTGGTGTGCTCTGGACCTTGGAGAATCCCTAGCACCTGCTTATTGTCATTCTAGTCCTGGGACAGCAGAGACACTGGGGCTCATTGGTCAGTTGGCCTTGCCTAATTGGTGTGCTCTGGGCCAATGAGAGGCCATTTCAATAGTCATTCAAGGCTCTCCTCTGACTACCACATGCATGTTCACATGTCAACATACATGCACACCTTTTAAAAGGGGGCTGGGGTGTGTCTCAGTTGACAGAAAGCTTGCCCAGTGTGCATGAAGCCCAGGGTTCCATCTCAGCACCGTGTTAAAGTGGGCGTGGTGGAGCACGCCTATAATCCCAGAGACTGAAAGATGGAGGCAGGAGGACCAGAAATTCAAGGTCATCCTTGGGGACACAGTGAATTTGAAGCCAGCCTGGGCCACAAGAGATCCTGTAACAAAATTAATTAAAGAAAACAAGATTCTGCCTTGGCTCCTAGCCTCCTGGGAGAGCTCAGACCTCTTGTTGGCGGTGCCCTCCTTGCTGTCCATGCTCAGCTGCTCTTTGCTCACAGACCTGGCCTTTTGTTCAGTCTCTTGCCTCTCCAGGAGTGCAGTCCCTGCCACAAAGCACTTTTAGCAGGGAATCTCCTTGTGCTTTCCTCTGACTGCTTAAGGAAAGTCATGCAAAGCTGCCTGTGGGATAGCATCCTTCTCAGTCTGTCTCTCAATGATGGGAAGACCCCTCTTCCCCAGCACCAGCCTCCTCCTCACCTCCCCCACCACTCCCATCCTGGCTCCCCTGACTCTGACGGCTTCCCTCCCACCAGCCAGACACCTTATCCCGTCACCTCCCCAAGCTGAAGTTCCACTCTTCCCCATTCCTGTGCCCTGGGCTGGGTCCCCACAGCTGAGCACCTGACTGAAGTTTCACACTGGCTCTCAATGGAGGTGTGGGGGAATGGAGGCATGTCAGTGGGACTTCACTGGTTCACAGTGGCAAAGGTGACTCGTTATAGAGCTGGGATCCACACAAGTTGTCCTACTCCTGAAGTCATGATTTTGTCATTGTTAGAGTCTCACTATGTAGTCTGCTTGTCCTCAAACTCTGCTTGGTTTTGCTTTGTTTGTTTTGAGATGGAGTCTCACTTCGTAGCTAAGGCTATGCTGGAACTACTCTGCGGACCAGACTCGCCTTCAACACACGAAGATCCGCCTGCCTCTCCCTCCCAAATGTTGGGATTAAAGACATGCACCACCATGCCCAGTTCTCAAACTCTAAAAAATACATATTTGTTTTCATGTGTTTATGTGTGTGCTTGCATGAATTCATATGCACTGCATATGTGTAGCGGCACAAGGGGGCCAGAAGAGGGCATCAGATTCCCCTGGAACTGGACTTACAGGCTGTCGTGAGCAGCCGTGTGGGGGTTGGAAAAATAAAGCCAGGATCCTCTGTAACAGCAGTATCTCTAACTGCGGCAGTATTGTTCTAGCAATAAAGCCAGGATCCTCTGTAACAGCAGTATCTCTAACTGCGGCAGTATCTCTCCAGTCCCAGCCTCAAACTTCTTTTTGTAATTTTTATTTTTTAGATTTATTTATTTTTAGGAGTATGGGTGTTTTGCTGTGCACCAAGCGAATGCAGTGATCTCAATGGCCAGGAGAGGGTGTTGCTTTGAACCAGAGTTACAGGTGGTTGTGAGTTACCATGTGGGTGCTGGGCTTTAAACTTCCATCCTTTGATCACTGAGCCACTTCTTGAATCCCTTAGCCTCTAACTCTTGTTCCTCCTGCTTCCACCTCTCAAGTGCTAGGGGTATGGGATTGTGCTGCCATGCCTGTCTGAATCTATGCTTTTAAACTACTCTACCACCGATGGATGGATGGATGGATGGATGGATGGATGGATGGATGGATGGGTGGGTGGATGAGTAGATGGATTGGTAGTGGGTGGATGGATAGATGGATGGACGATCTGTTTCAGACTTGCTCGTTAAGAAACACAGCCATCCTCTGGGAAATCTGAATGTTCCGTCACTGCCTGGGAGAATTTTGTGATAAAGTGAGCTTTGTGTTCAGAAATAGAAACGAGGAGGAGGGGAAGGGAAGAGGGGCAGAGGAGCCCTGGTGTGCAGGTCGCAGGGCTTCCTTCGGAGGAGGGCACTGTCCTGAGCACTGGCACCGGCAGTGGCTGACTGAGAGCCTGAGGAGGCCCCACAGGGCTGCGGTTTGAATGAGGACAGCAATTGTGCAAGAATGGACAGCCTTGCCCCAGCCTGCGTCTCCTGGCCTGAGTCACACTGGAAGAAGAGAGTGAGAGCCCTGAAACCCCTTGGATAGAGAGCTGCCAAGGCCTCCAGTGTGACATGGGTGAAGTCATCACGGATGAGCTCAGGAGAGGCACCTGGGAACACGGTAAGAGGCCAGCAAAAGCTGAGACTGGCTGGCTCCTGGGACCCAGAGGGCCAGGGTGAGCTCAATCTTGGAGAGGCCCCCAGACACACCCTGCTGGAAGGTCAGCCTTTCGCTGGGCTGCTCCTCTGGGGTGCTCACTTGTGTGGCCCTTTGCAGCTGGTGGCAGATGTCTACTTCTCAAACGTGCATGGTCAGTGTGGGTGCATCTGGGCATGCTAACTAATACCCACTGCAAATATCGCCCCAAGCCAGAAGGAGGAATAAAATTTTCTTCAAGAATAAGATGCAATTCAGAAATGCAAGGGCATGCAGTTCCCAGGGCCTCCCAATACTCTGTGGATGAGATCGGGGCAAGACTTGGAACTGTCAGGCTCCTATGTCTGGGTCCCTGGTTGTCTGTTGTTTTGGGGGTGGGAATATGGATGACAAAGGACATTCTTAGGTGCCTACTCCCTTACTACAGTATGAGAGCCCAGGTTGGGAACCAGAAATCCTGGGTAAGAGTGGTGCTTCCAGATAGCCAAGGAAGGAAGGAAGCCAGGCAGATCTCACATAGACCATGCTGGCCACCAGCTGCTTCTCAGCTAGGTCCTCAAGGGCTCTCCGGGGGAGTTCATGCATCCAAACTTCAATCTGTTATGTAGAGCTTGTCTTGCTGGCGTTTAGCATGGTCATTGGCTGAGACATGCCCCTCCTCTGAATCCCAGCTTCCTCATCTCTGAAGTATGGGTGGGGCTAGGGTGGGGCTCTGTGGATAGAGTACTTAGTTAGCCTACATGAGTCCCAGAGTTCCAACCCAGCACCTCATAAAGCAGGTTTAGTGACACACACTTGTGATTCCAGGACTTGGGAGAGAGAAGAAGGTTCAGGGTCATGTTTGGCTACATAGCAAGTTCAAGGTCTGGCTGGGGAGCATGAAGCCTGCCTGAAAAAAAGAAACAAACTAATAAAACCCTAAAGTGCGTACATCTTTAATCCCAGCACTCAGGAGGCAGAGGCAGGTGGATCTCTATGAGTTCGAGACCAGCCTGGTCTACAAAGTAAGTTCCAAGACAGCCAGAGCTGTTATAAGATATAGAGAAGGCAAGCAGATCTCTGTGAGTTGGAGGCCAGCCTGGTCTCCAGAGCGAGTGCCAGGATAGGCTCCAAAGCTACACAGAGAAACCCTGTCTCGAACCCCCCCAAAAAAAACCAAAACAAACAAAAACAAAACATAAAATATAGAGAAACCCTATCTCAAAAATAAAAGAAAGCAAAGCTGGGTGGCACACGCCTTTAATCCCAGCACTCAGGAGGCAGAGGCAGGAGGATCTCTGTGAGTTCAAAGCCAGGATAGCCAGAGCTACACAGTGAAACGCTGTCTTAAAAAAAATCTCTAAAGTGAAGCCAGCCTGGTGGCACATGCCTTTAAACCCAGCACTGGGGAGGTAAAAGCTGGCAGATGTCTGTGAGTTCAAGGCTAGCCTGGTCTACATAGCAAGTTCCAGGCCTGAGCTACATAGTAAGACCCTGTAGGTTGGATACAAGAAGACAATGAGTGAATGCATACAGCCCTGAGCACAATGACTGTTAGCTAAAGTTGAGTGTTGGTCAGCTTGTTAATACCACTGTGTGTACAGTAGTCATCACCAGCTGTCTCAGTGCTCATGGTGAGACAATGCTGAGGTGAGAAGAGCCGGCCGTCTCTGGGCTCTGCTGGCTGGAAGGCAAAGCCCCATCTCCCATCAGGAACTCTCTGGGCCTGCTTAGCCTCTCGGTGTGGTCCCTTCTCCAGGGTACAGAATAGCCTCTTTCCTCAGCCACTGCTGCCAACAGGCTTACAGCATGACACACAGCACCAGTAGTGGCTCTTGTGACCAGAACCATGCCTGGAGAAGAGCTTGGTCCCAAGTGCAATCAGACTACCTGGTGGCAGCTAGAAGCTCATCCCAAGTCATCGCTGAGGCATCTGTGCTGGGGAGGGTTTCAAAACAAGGTGTAGTGGAGACATGGAGAATCGAAGGGTTATGCTCACAAAATGTCTTTAAACCTGAAAGAACACAGAAGAAGTAAGGTCCCCAGCCGGGCGTTGGTGGCCCACACCTTTAATCCCAGCACTCAGGAGGCAGAGGCAGGCAGATCTCTGTGAGTTCGATATCAGCCTGGTCTACAAGAGCTAGTTCCAGGACAGCCTCCAAAGCCACAGAGACACCCTGACTCAAAAAACAAACAAACAAAAAAGAAATAAGGCCCCCAATCCTGGGGTGGAAAGAGTCTGGGAAGCCCCTCTGGTTTGTGACAGTTGACAGCTGTTCTGCTGTGTCAGGGACAGAGGTACCCTGAGGACTGTAGGATAAGGGGGACTACGATGGGCACTCTTGGGGCTTGAGGCCTCACAATATGGCAGGCAGGTGAGGAGCCAGTCAGTATCTAAAGCAGATTTCCAAAGGGTCTTTTGTTATCTTCAGGTGAGTTTATAACCCTCCCTTTAAAATTTAGTGTGTGTGTGTGTATGTGTGTGTGTGTGTGTGCTCACATTTTTGCAGTGCCCCCAGAGACCAGAAGAGGGAGCCAGATCCCCCTGGGACTGGAGTTACAGATGAGCCACCAAGTGTGTGCCGGGAGTGGAATCCAGGTCCTCTGCTAGAGCAGCCAGTGCTCTTAACTGCTGAGTCATTTCTCTAAGCCTGAAGGTGCAACCTTTGTGTCCAGCTGCCCCACAGCTCTGTTTCCTCTGGGCCTATTTTGGTTCTTCCTGCCTGCCTTTCCATCAGTTCATCAGAGGACCACTGGGTACGGTCACTGGGCTGTGATCTCATTGGTGGTTGCCAATCATCCATTGGCTACCTGTGATCAGGTGCTCTGTGCTGTTCAATTAGCTGTGCCATGGTGGCAGGAGCTTGTGGGCCCTCACAGGGGCAATTGCCTATGGCTGCTGGTCTTGGGGAAGATGTGTCCATCTGTGCATAGGAAAGAACTGAAGCTTCTAGGGATCTGGCAGAGGCCAGAGCTCTGGGCATGGTTCAGTACATGTTTTGGCTGCCCGCCAGCTAGCCAGGTTCTTGGAAACCCCCTGAAGCCCTTCTTCATCCTCTTTGCTTCTCTAGAGCTGCACTGTTGTGTGTGGAGGTCATGAGCATCACACTTGTGTCCCCAGAACCTGGGCCTCTGTCAGAGGTTCTGTGTGGGTTTGCCAGATGACTCTGAGAGAAAAGCGCCAGCCTCATCAGCTTAGGGGAGTGAGGTTGCACCAACTGCCCCCAAATTTCCCACCTCTGGCTGTCCTGGCATTGCTTTGAGATGTAGGGACATTCACAGATGAGCCAATTTCCTTGAGTGTCTAAGTGGCTGCTGAGTGTTTGTTGACTCTAAGTAAATGGGAACCTTCTCCTCTGCAGACTGACCATTTCCAGCCTGAGTGTCTTCCCTTTACTTTCCTGTTTTACTTCACACACAGCTTTAAGTGACTCCTCACTCTGCAACGGCTCCAGAGCATTTGATATTAAGTTACATAAAGATTTTTAACAGCATGGGCTCTCCTTTCTGATGAGCTGACCTCAAAGCCTCATAACTTGCTTCCATACCTTCAGTTTCAACTGAACATGAGGGGTTGCCTGACACTAACGGCAATGCCGTTTAATTAATACCAAAAGCTCTGAGGGCTGTTTTTCCTTCACGTTCACTCCATTCCTTTTAGAAGGCATTTTAATAACTGCATTTTAATAACTGTTGCTCCTGAAATGGGAAGTTTCCCATGAGCCTGCCAATCCTGGAGTCCCCTTACCATGAGGACACTTTCTTCCAGTTCTTAAAGTGGCCGGCTTCTCTGTCTTTCTTTAAGCCCCACTTTGAGCATCAAATGTCTCAGATGTCAAGGGTAAGGGTATGGATTCATGAGGGTCTGTCAAAAGAAAACTCAGAGACACTTGAAGGATGAATTTAGCAATTGCAGCTGCAAGGAACCTCAGCTTCAAAGAACTGAAGTACATTCCCTATGCCCAGACATTTTTTTTTCCTTTTTTTATCTTTCTGAGTAGAGATGTCATATAGCCCATGCTGTCCCCAAGTTTAGTTATGTATCCCAGGCTGGCTTGCATGCCTAAAGCTCCCGCAGGCATGTATCATCATACCCTATGATTGTCAGTGATAATAAGGGCTAGCTCTTTAAGTCCGCCCATGTTTTCATGGTTTGGGCACTCACCCACCAGCCTCACCGCGCTTGGTTCAGCAGACACACGCTTCATCTGAAGGTCTACTCACAATCATGGCCTTTGTACTACATATCTTACAAAAAATAGAAAATGTGAGGCTAGAGAGATGGCTTAGTGGTTAAGAGCACTGGCTGTTCTTACAGAAGACCTGGGTTTGGTTCCCAGGTTCCCACATGATTGTGCATAACTGTCTGTAATTCCAGTTCCAGGGGATCCAATACACTCTTCTGGCCTCCACAGGCACCAGGCTTACATGTGGTGCCCATATAGAACACTCAGACACATAAAAAAGTAGACAAATATTTTTAAAAGTACATAGAAAAGTGGGACCCCTAAGTCCCCTTGTCACCCAGGGAAAAGGAGAGCTCAGCCTGTCATCACAGAGCCCTGAACTGCCCATCATGACTGCCATAAATCAGACATGGTCACTGAGTACCCAAAACACGAGAGTGCAGAAGGCCAGTGGAGATGTGTAAGCATGAACTCATGCTAGGATTCCAGACTTCACATGAAAAAAGAAAAAGTAAAATAACCAGGAACGTCAGCGTTAGCACTAAGGAGGCTGAGGCAGGAGGATTGCAACAAGTGCCAGTTATGCCGCCCAAAGGCCCTGCTCATGGAAGTCACTGAAACAGAGTGTCACCACCTTGAAGATGCTGGCAGCCTCTGCCAGCAGGGCTGAGATGAGGTTTTCTAGAAGCATCTACCAGCTGAGTCAATATCCAGCACAGTGGCTGGGGCTCACTGGGGTTCATCTCGCTGAGATGGTTCATCTAAGTGTCTACTGGATTGGACCTGGGTTCAATCCACAGTCGCACCTCTGTGTGGGTCTTTGGGATCACACAGAACGATCTAGAAGGATCGTTCTGGTGCAGCCCTGATACAAAGAGGTCTGACAATAAAGTGGCTGCGTTTGCCTGTCCTCTTTCAACGCTTGCTAGTGAGGGAATCTATTTTGTCGCTGCTTCCTTCGCTAACACCAGGACCCAGTTTATTTGGCCTTCTCATATGGACTGAGGACCACCTGCTCTCCAGGAGTCCCCCAGGCCTTCAACACAAGCCTCAAGGATGGAATTTCTTCAGTTCCAGTTGGTCAACCCAATCCATGTTATGTAAGTCAGTCTAAGCAATCCTCTTTAGTCCTGTATGCTATTCTCTAGAGGGCTCTGTTCCCCTAGAGAACCCTGACTGACACAACCAGTGTGGGGTGAAGGGGTGGACATGGGTGGATGGGGGCTCTTCTGTTACCAAGTGACCTACTGGCTCACACTTGCTTTGTGCATTATTTTTGAACTCTGTCTTACCCCTGAGGAAGGATGCTTCCTCCAGGGGACATAGCCAGAGACTCATGGAGCTGGACTCCACCATGCTTCTGAGTCAGCAAGTGACAAGAGAGTCATGACACTGGCTGAAGTGACTAACCAGAGGAACAGAACACTCTGGTCTCTCCAGAATGGGGAAACTGAATGGCTGTTTCTCAATGAAGAAGTGAGAAAAGACATCTATTGTACAGGAGTACAGGACTCCCAGTAAGAGTAGCTGTTGGTATTTCCACGCCCTGTGACTAAAGGCAGGGGAGGAGCTTGTGAGATGGCTCAGCAGGGAAAAGCACTTGCCTTGACGCCTGAGTTCAATTCCTAGAACTCACATAAGGGTGGAAGGAGAGAACCAATTCCACAAAGTGGTCCTCTGACGTCCACGTGTGTTCTGTGTGACACTCTGCCCCACCCCACCACACACACAGCCATGTTAAAACCAATTTTCTTTTTGGCTTTTCAAGACAGGGTTTCTCTATGTAGTTTTAGAGCTTGCCCTGGAACTCACTCTATAGACCAGGCTGGCCTCGAACTCACAGAGATCCACCTACCTCTGCATCCCGAGTGCTGGGATTAAAGGCGTGCGCAACACCACCGGGTGCTAAAACCAAATTTTAAGTTAAGTTGATGGAAAGTGACTACTGGCATCACCCAGGACACTCAGTCATGAATATTTGGGTCACCCCACATGGTCAAGGACCAGCATCAGCAGAGGTGCCTTACTGAGAGCATAGGGAAAGTAGTTACAAATATCACTTACACAGGCCTGCAAGATGGTAGGGGGGTTGAGGGTAAAGATGCTTGCCACCAAGTTATGACCTGTATTCAATCCCTGGGAAGCACATGGTGGAAGGAGAACACATATTTCCACAAGTTGTCTTCTGACCTCCATACATGCACTGTGGTATACACACACACACATACACAAATGCACAAGCTTGAGCACACTGAATGGAAACAAATGCATATATTTGGCTCAGCAAGAAAAAATGTATATATTGGTTTTTGAGACAGGGTTTCTCTGCATAGCTCTAGCTGTTCTTGAACTCACTCTGTAGACCAGACTGGTCTAAACTCAGAGATCCGCCTGTCCCTGCCTCTCAAATGCTGGAATTAAAGTCCTGCACCACCACTACCCAGATAAAAAAAATATTTTTTTAACCAACTGTCAAACCAGGCTTGGTAGCATACACCTTTATTCCTGGCACTCTGGAGGCAAAGGCAGGTAGAAGGATCTCTCTCTGAGTTCAAGGACAGCATGACTGACATAGCAAGTTCCAGGCCAGATAGACACTAGCTTAAAAATCAAACAAACAAAAAAAGAAGAATAAAGGAAGGAAAGAAGGAAGGAAGGACGGAAGGAGGGAGGGAGGGAGGGAGGGAGAGAGAGAGAGAGAGAGAGAGAGAGAGAGAGGAGCCCCAGCCATGAGCTGGGCATGGAGGCACACATGTAATCTGGGTGCTGGAGGAGGGTGAGCCACTGCTAAGCAGTTCTGACTTTACTTCAAAACATGGGAACCTCAGAAGACGACAGACTCAGGACTTTGTTCTTCTGGGAAGAGATCAGGGTGTTCTGGGCTGAGTTGGACAGATGGATCGTGCCTATAAGATTACGATTTCTGCTGCCATTGTTGGGGGCTTAAGGGTGGTTTTAGGAGATGTGTCTGGATTCAAAATCCATAAGGGGTGGATTTGCGGTGGTTTAATTTTCTGAGCCAATCTAGCCAGTCACCACATGCCCAGATTAAAACATTATTTGTGGGTGCGTCTTCAGGTGTTTCCGCAAGAGATTGAATGTCGAACTCACGACCACACAGAGGTCCCTGATTACCCAACCCACAGCCCCTCACTCAGGCTGGAACAGAGCAAAAGACAGGAGGAGGTCTTTGCCTGGCTTCTTGAAGCTAGCCACGAGCTGTGACATCTCTGATCTCCCATCTTGAGACAGACAGGATTTATACCATCAACCTGTCTTTCTTTTAGGTCTACTTTTGGGTGATTTGTGTATGTCTCTGTGAATGAGTGCCCCTGGAGGGCAGAAGGTGTCAGATCTCCTGGAGCTAGAGTTACAGGCAGCTTTGAGCAGCCTCATGTGGATGCTGGGAACTGAACTTGGGTCTGCTGCAGGAGCAGCAAGCACTCTGACCCACTAAACCATCTCTCCAGCCTCCACCATCTACCTTTGACCTTGGACTGAACTATACTGTTGACCTCCCTGGATCAGTAGCTATTGAGAGTCAATAGGGAGAACTGTGTATGTATGTATGTATGTATGTATGTATGTATGTATGTATGTATGCATGTAGACAGTGTCTCATTATGTAGACCAGACTGGTCTTGAACTCACAGGGATCTGCCTGCCTCTGCCTCCCAAGTGCTGAGATTAAAGGTGTGAGCCTCTATGTGCAGCTTGCAGGACTTTCCAACTAATTATTCACTATCATTATACAGGGGCCAATTATATCCCATCATAGCTCTCCGGGAGCTGGAGAAGTGGCTCAGTGGGTTAAGATGTGAGGACCTGAGACTGGATCCCAAGCATCCACATAAAGACAACCACAGTAGCATGGTCTGTGGCCCCAGGATTCTGATAGGAAATCGGAGTAGAGAGGAGAATTTCCAGAAGCATGAAGGCCTGCCAGCCTGGAGTGTTTAGTGCCTCAAACCAGGGGGAAGGCAAGCACTGACAACTGAGACTGTGTCCTGACTTCCACAGACACTTTGTGACATGTACACACCTGTTCCTACACAGGAACACACACACACACACACACACACACACACACACACACACAGTCTCATTATATACCCAACACTATATACATATATGAATATGTATATGATGTCATATGCATGTCCTATGGACTGTCTCTCTGGAAGCCGCCGTTTCACTCCCAGGTACCAGGAGCTAGGATGTGAACTTTTCTTTGGGCGGGGCAGAGCTGAGATTTTCCATTTACTGCAGGCATGCGTGTAGCCTGGGTCTTTGGTGAGAACTGGACAGTAAAGAACTCAGAGTGTGGGCTCAGGGCTTAGTTCTGGGTTTGACTCCCCCACCTGAGATCACTGCCTTGTGGCTGTGTGTCCCCTGAGCCTCAGGAAACCTCTCTGAAACAGCTTGGTATGGAGGTCGCTCACTCCACAAGGCTTTGAGAACTCAGCTGAGCTGTAACTGGTATGTTATACGACTGCTCTGTGCTCTGATGCCCCCCCCCCATCATGCTTAAATTATGCGAGGACCTGGAGAGGTGGCTCAGGGTTAAAAGCTCGGACTGCTCTTTCAGAGGACCCTGGTTTGGTTCCCAGCACCCAGATGGTGGCTCTCAGTTGTCTGTAACTCTAGTCTCAGGGGGGTCTGATGGCCTCTTCTGGCGGCTGTGGACACCATATACATGTGATGCACAGACACACATGACAGCAAAATATCCATACACATAAAATAAACAAATCTTGTGCCGTGTGTTGGTGGTGCACGCCTTTAATCCCAGCACTTGGGAGGCAGAGGCAGGCAGATCTCTGTGAGTTCAAGGCCAGCCTGGTCTCCAGAGCGAGTGCCAGGATAGGCTCCAAAGCTACACAGAGAAACCCTGTCTCCAAAAAAAAAAAAAAAAAAAAAAAAAAAAAGTGCATACTGATGAAGTGCCTGTAGAGGCCAGAAGAAGGAAGGCATCCTTGAGCTGGAGCTACAGGTGGTTGTGAGCTAGGAATTGAATTCAGGTCTTCTGTGAGAGCAACACATTCTCTTAACCACTGAGTTATTCCTTCTACCCATACAGGGTCTCATGTACTCAGGTGGGCATTGAACTCACTATACAGTTGTAAGCTGCAGGCATCCGTCACCATGCCCATTTTATTAGAAGTGGTGAGGGGACCCAGGGCTTCAAGTAAGCCAGCCAGTCACTGTACCAGCTGAGCCACACTCCCAATTCCCATGCTTGTTTTCTCATCCATAAAACAGGAACAATAAAATCTACCTCTCTGGGTGTGATGGTGCACGCCTCTAATTCCAGCACTTGGGAGGCAGAGGCAGGCCGATCTCTGTAGTCTAAGGACAGCTGTGTCTACATAGCATGTTCCAGGTTAACCAAGGCTACATAGTAAGACCCTGTCTCAAAAAAGGATGGAGGGGAGCCGGGCGGTGGTGGCGCACGCCTTTAGTCCCAGCACTAGAGAGGCAAAGGCTGGAGGATTTCTGTGAGTTCAAGACCAGCCTGGTCTATAAGAGCTAGTTCCAGGACTGACTTCAAAGTCACAGAGAAGCCCTGTCTCAACCCACCCCCACGCAAAAAAAAGGGTGGAGATGGAGCTAGAAAGATGGCTCAACAGTTAAGAGCACTGGCTGCTCTTTCAGAGGACCCAGGTTTGATTCCCAGCACCCACATGTCCGCTCACAACCATCCATAACTCCAGTCCCAAGGGGATCCAACTTCCTCTTCTGACTTCAGAGGTCATCACACATACATGATGCACAGACATACATGCAGGTAAAACATTCATGCACATAAAACTATAATAAATGTACAAAAGCCTACCTCATCTGGTTAACATGGAGATGAGGTTAGTTAGTTCTGGCATGTGTTAACCATTTTATAAGTGCCATAGGAAGTATATTGCAGGAAGCTTGGCTCTGGAGTCTATTGTGGCTCATGGTATCTTTCAAGATAAAACACTGATAGGGGAAACTATGAGAAGCCTGAGAATCCTGGCCATGGAAACTATACAGGAGCAGATAAGGTGCTGATGTCAGCCTAGGGCTGGCTTTGGTTAAAACAGCCATGCCTATTAGCTCGTGTTTA